AGGGTGAGTCTAACCAGGTGAGACCAACTCCAGCAGAGCTCTGACAGGGTGAGTCTAACCGGCTTCTTCCTGAAGCAGGTCTAATGTCTCCATCTGCTCATTTTAGGGCTGTGAAGAGGAGCAGAATATCGTGTGGCTGATCTGATGGAAGGAGGAGCTTCATTCCACAGTTAAAACCTAGAAAAGTGGAAGTTTGCTGATAGAAGCTGAGCTGCAGCTCTTCGCCGTCTGCTCCTCGGTGGTTAACGCCCCCCCTATAGCTGCTGGCTGAATGGATCCACTGATTGATCTACAGGAGGAAAGGCTGAAGGTAGCAGCACCTGTTTATTAAGGCACTGGGCCCAAAACGCTCCAGCCTGAACCAGCCAACTGGGATCAATACTGGGATCAATACTGGGATCAATACAGACCCAGAACCAACCGGACTGAACTGACTGGTCGTCATTTCAGACCTTTGTTTCACTTATTTTCTAATTGAAATGTGATTTCTGAACATAACGGGTTTAGATGAACCAGTGGAAATTAATTAAACCAGAGAAGAAGGAGGAGAGATAATCCCAGATTACCAACATCTGTTCTCTCTAAACATCATTTATTAAATGTTATATTGGAGCAGTTTGGTTTATTGATGAATTAGAACATAAATGGTTCAGTTCAGGTTAATCCTCCTGAACCTGAAGGTCAGACGGAGCTCAGAGAACCAAAGGAAGCAGGTTTCCATCACATGGACTAAGAATCCCAACCAGAGGTAGATGTATGGATCCAGATCCGCTCACCTTCTAGACACTGTCCTTTGAAGAACACCTTCTGCTCCAGACGGAACTTCTCCAGCTGCTCAGCAGACGAGAAGTTCAGCTCCCTGGAAACGGCTTTGCACTTCAGGATCTTCTTTGGTACGCGGGCTGAGGAGAGGAGACAGAGCAGCGTCACCGTCAGCAGGCGGCAAAACCAGCTGAACCAGCCGGAACACAAGGTCCACCTAGACAGAACCAGTCAGAACCAGCCTGGTCCCTGAACGGGCAGCCTGACAGAACCAGTCAGAACCAGTTTGGTCCCTGAATGGGCAGCCTGACAGAACCAGTCAGAACCAGTTTGGTCCCTGAATGGGCAGCCTGACAGAACCAGTCAGAACCAGTTTGGTCCCTGAATGGGCAGCCTGACAGAACCAGTCAGAACCAGTTTGGTCCCTGAATGGGCAGCCTGACAGAACCAGTCAGAACCAGTTTGGTCCCTGAATGGGCAGCCTGACAGAACCAGTCAGAACCAGTTTGGTCCCTGAATGGGCAGCCTGACAGAACCAGTCAGAACCAGTTTGGTCCCTTAACAGGCAGCCTGAAAGAACCAGTCTGGTCTGGGAAGCAGGGGTTTGATTAACCATCCTTCAAGAAGCTCCAGTACCAGATGGGTACACCAGGTTCTGGGCCAGCGTGTTCAGAAGGTCCAGGATGAAGGTCCAGTTAACTGGATGTCCCTGCAGGACATCTGTCCATCTCTGTCCATCTGAGCAGGAACAACCTGGATCTGAACAGAGCGGGGAGCCTCTGAGGTCATTTCATCAACCAGGAACATCAGGAAAATAAAAAAGGGCGACGGTGGCGTTGGATGTAGGCGTTTGCCCTGAAATTGAAGGGTTGACGGTTCAAGCCCCGACTCAGTGTCGTTGTGTCCTTGGGCAAGACCCTTCACCTGCATTGTCTACCGATGGTGGTCAGAGGGTGGCGCCGGTGTACGGCAGCCCCGCTTCTGTCAGTGAAGCTACATGGTGGCTCACACACTGATGGTGGTGAGCTACAGTGTAGCTCACCACCATCAGTGTGTGAATGAATGGGTGAATGAATGTAGTGTAAAGCGCTTTGGTCAGGTCTCCTGACTTGAATAAAGGCGCCATATCAGTACAGGACATTTACCATTTATTTCATCAACGCCACTTTTTCCCACAATGATGACGAGACGAGAACGCACAAAAATAGTTTCCAGAAAATAAAAATATGATGAAAATACAAAATTATTTTCATCAACGAGACAAAGACAGACGAAAAGTACGATCCATTGATGGATGGACATTAAGCAATTTAATTACTTATGATTAATTTGTAATTGTTAACAAAAGTGTTTCTTGAGCTTCATAGAAGATTACGCGTTGTTCCGCTGTTTGTCCTACATGGTGCCTGTCCCACAGCGCCCCCCAGAGCTCAGTCAGTAGTAGCATAGCTCAACTTCACAGTCATTGCGGATACCGGTGTGCTGTTTGTTAAACAACGCCTGGATGTATGGAGCCATTTCATTTACAACTCAAAGGAAAACAGCAGAGGAAGAACGCCACCAAAGAGTCTGCGGCTTCAACATGGCGGCGAAGAACAGAGCGAATCTGTAGTAGCAGGAACGGGTGTGTTAGCGCGTGGACGGGCGCATGCATGTGGCTCTGTGTCTGTCTGTCTCTCTGTAAAGAAGGAAGATGTTCTACTGATAAACTGCATATTAATGGTTTAAATTTCTTCTTCCCACTAGATTCCTGACCCAGTGACATCACAGCCAGATCAGAGGCTGGGGGAGGAAGGGGAGCCCCCCCACCCCTGACTCCAAAGAGAAGAAAGTCCAGTAGAACTCAGTGGTGAAGATTGGGTGTTCTGCCTGCAGGGACCATGGAGGATGAAGACTTTATGGAAATGATGAAACAAGCCGACAGAAGGTTCAATGTGTGCAGATCTATGTTAAAAAGAATCAGAGTGTGAGGTTCTATTCTGCACAGTGTTGACTATAATGACTAAGACTAAAATAGATTTTCGTCATTTAGACTAAGACTAAATTAAAGAAAGCTGAGAAATGAACGCGGCCTGGAAGCCATCATCAGACGGAGGTTAGCGCCTCAGTGGTGCCCAGCTGCTCAGAAGCAGAGGACCTACCTTCATGCTCCACGCCTGGCACCGACAGGTCCTCGGTTCCCTGCCACAGCACCTTCCCAGTCTCTGCATCGCGCAGATTCATCCAGTTTCTGTCAGGAAAACTTAAAGAAAACAAGCCAACCTCTGAGAAGATAACTAGAAGATAACCCAGATTCAGCTTCTGCTCGTCTGGAAAACCACCTCAGTGCAGGAAAAACTGGTCCGACGTAATCAGATAGCAAATTATTCTGAGTCTAAACTCAACCGTTAGCTGAAGGAAGAGCGACCAACCAAGAAGAAGCCGACCAAGGAACCATGCAGCTGCAGATCTTTATCACAGGGAGAACATCAGCTGGTCCAGCTGCAGATGCCTCCAGTCAGAGAGAGGTTCTCTGTGTGTGTGTGTGGGGGGGGGGGGAGTTTAGAGTTTAACTCCTTTGCTATTTATTAATTGTTGATCTGCAGAAGCGATGGCAGCTTGCAGGTAGAGTCCGCCTCCCTCCTGGATCAGCTTCTCTGATTGGTTGATGCTCCTGCGTCCAGCGGCAGAAGGTCATTTAATGAACGCCAGCGCCGGACGCTCAAACGCGCCGCTGTCCTCCATAGACTGCAAAGCTGACGCCCCCAACGCCTCTGGTGGGAACGCAGCTTTAGAGCAGTTTAGTTTCTGGAAATTACTTAAACCAGCGCTTATATTTTATGTCTTTAACCTTTAAAACATCAACATCAAACCCAAATCTATCATCTTATCAACTGAGGAGCAGCTTCTAAAAAGCGATGGCGGCCCAGTGATGTCAGGACTGACCAGGAAGCGCCGATCCTCCAGCAGCTGGAAGGTTTCATCTCAGTGAACTGAGCTGGGAAATCTGGAAAATATACGTCGCTTTATCAGACCAAACCTCCAGACTAAAACCATCTGGATTATTTAGACCCAAACAAACAGACTAACAGTAAAACATGAGGCTTTGTTAAACTGGTTTAGATTCAGAGTCTAAATGTTTTATTCCTGTATCGAATCGTCTCTGTACTAAAATTCATTGCAGGAATAACTTTAAACTGCTCAAAGGTCACATTCTATTTGGAGAAGATCTGTAGAAATAAACTGTGATGAAAGATTTTCCCTGAACTGATCAACTGCAGAGCCTCCATCCATCAGAGACCATCAGCAAGCGAAACGCACCAATCACAGCTCAGCATGCTGCTCCTGAACCACCAGCAGCTCCCTGGCCTCCAGTGACACAGCAGCAGAGCGAGCCTGATGGGACCTGTGGTTGATTCTGACTGGGAGCCGTCCCAGCAGGTCCACTGGGAGGAGCTTCAGATCCATTCAGTTATAAACAGGATCTCCTGTAGAGGTCTGTCTGCAGCAGGTCTGGATCAGCCTCTGACTGACAGTCTGATGAAGAGGAGGCTCACTGCTGTCCTTCATCTTCTTCCTTCAGAGTGGTCTGAACCAGACCTCATCAGGACTCCACCATCCCCACTGAGAGGCACGGTGGTGGCAGCATCATGCTGCTAGAGCATAAACCCCCAGAGGACGGGTTCTGGACCTGATGGACTGGTTATCCAGCCTGACCAGTACCACCCATCTTCTCTAATCAGCCCGTCTGTAATTTAATCTAATCTCTGAGTCTAAAGTCAGATTCCTTTCATGGGCTGGACCACAGGTTTGGTTAATCTGGACCACAGGTTTGGTTAATCTGGACCACAGGTTTGGTTAATCTGGACCACAGGTTTGGTTGATCCGGACCACAGGTTTGGTTGATCCGGACCACAGGTTTGGTTGATCCGGACCACAGGTTTGGTTGATCCGGACCACAGGTTTGGTTAATCTGGACCACAGGTTTGGTTGATCTGGACCACAGGTGGAACCAGGGAAGTTAATCACATCCACCACTGGGCTGCTCCATCAGAACCACTCCCTCCCAGACCAGTCCAGAGAGGGAGACCATCTGGGTCCACATGGACCGACCAGAACCACCAGAGAATATGAGCAGCTCCCAGTAATCCCAGTAACCCTCCACTCCCTGCTGGTCCAGTGATGCCTGGGTGGCCGGTCCAGCTGATGGAGCAGCTGAACGGATGGAGGCCCATGCTGATACCCGCCCCCCCATTTCCGGATTAGAACTGGGATTGGGCCCTAATCTGTGGCTGCAGGCGCAGCGCTGATGGTCAGACTGGCTGAACCGTCCGGAAGCAGAAACAAGCAGCCAACAAAGCGGAGCAGGAGCCCGACCTCCGGCCTGCATGGGGGCCCCCCGGCTGGCAGGCCCTCCATGGGGCCCCCGGCAGGCCCTCCATGGGGTCCTTAGCGCAGCTAGCTGCTAGCAGACAGCTTACATCACAGCAGAGGAAGGATACAGTCTGAAGCCCTTCAGTATTTCCTTGGCTCTGTCTTCTCCAGAAGACATTTCAGGAGTTTCTCTGAGCCGATCAGCGATTCTCCAGATTTAGCTGAACTTCCGGCCGGTTAACTGAACCCTGACCCCGAAGAACGGCTCCTAACGGCCCGAAGAGAGAAGCGAGCAGTTGGGCTACAAGATAAATCCGATTCCACTAATATAAGCAGCTAAATACGCTCCGGGAAACGGACAGCAGCTCGACCAATCAGCGCGCGGCAGCGGCGCCAACCAGCCAATCAGAAGGTGGGCGGAACAAAATGGATTCTGATTGGTCCGCAGTAGCGTCACTATGCTGCATTCGATGAAAACGGGAAATCCGTGAGGCGCCTTGGATTTTCCCACCTGGATTCATTTTTAGGACCTCAAACGTCTCATTTTAATATAAACACCGCGATAAAAAAAAACCCCCAAAAAACTGTAAAATTAAAATAAAGCGGCCTTAAACGATAACGTCTAAGAAATCAAAGCCCGTTGAGTGGTTGCCATGGTAAAGGCCATGATGTCACAGGAAGTTCTCCTGCAGTCTTTGAAGTGGTCAATATAAAACCAGTGGCTGCAGCAGAGAGGACCTCATTAATGGGACATTTATCCTTTAACTGTACTAAAATAATTAACATTTTGCTCCCAGTTGGTCTGCAGACCTTTGAACCATCAGAGGAGCTGCGCTGCCAACATGGTGGATAGAACAAAGAATTCTACTAACTAGACTCTTCTGCAGCAGAGAAGCTTCAGGCTCCATCAGAGAGCAGCTTCCTCCTCAGTCCATGACGGGAGGTCACCTGAAGGTGGAACTGAGCAAGTCAGTGAGTGTCTGAGGTCAGATCAATAGTTTAATATCTCCTGTAGGACCCGGCCTGCTGCCCGTCGCACCGAGTCCGGATGATGATGATGATGTCAGGACCTTCACAGCCACCGATCATAACCTGCGGTTAGCTGGGAAGTTTAAAAGGCCATCTGGGACAGCCGACCAATCACAGCGTCCCTGACGAAGGTGTGATTCAGGCCTTTCCTCCGACCCAATCGGACCGCGGTCCAGAGAAACAGACAGAGGCAGAAGTTTGACCAAACAAGCTTTATTAGGGGCCAGTCTACTCTTTCTTGGCAGCAGCCTTCCTCATGGCTGCCAGGACGTTGCTCAGCTCCTCCCTCTTCCTCTTGGCCCGGATGTGTGTGCCGATCTGAAAAACAACAACATCATGAATGATTGGTTCTGAATTTATTCATCAGACTGAAGCTTTGGCTCAGGATCACTGAGCCGTTCAGCTCCTGCTTCCCAACATTATGACCTTCACTGCTTCAGCATCTAGCCGCGGGGCTGAGCTTAGAGCCCAGGACCCCCGGCTGCCTGTGGAACATGGATCAAAGCGGGTCGGCCCAAAGGGAACCTCCACCTGCAGCTGCTCAGGAGTCCAGAACCAAAGCTGACCTCCCTGAGAAGATGCTGATGCTGCCTGGCAACAACAGGGATGGAAGAACCACCACCATGGAACCAGAACCTCAGCGATCCTGCTTTAAAGCAGGGCAGTGGCAGCATCATCCTGAGGGGCTGCTATTCACGTCCCAAAGTGGATCCCATCAGAAGGAAAGGAGAACAGACTGAAGATGACGGGTTAGGAAGCTCTGATCTGAGGAAGGAGGTCCACCCTGGACCCCGACCGTCTGCTGATAGCTCATAATGCCTCCAGAACCGGTCCTCTGAAGGCTGCTTCCCTCCTCTCACTGTGAAACCGCTCCCAGTCATCTTTAATACTGGTTCCCAGTATCAGAACATTTCTAATCTGCTCCCACAGCTTTGAAATGAGACCAAAGTTGCTGCTACTGTTCTACAGCGTTAACATCTGGGAGACCATGGATGCTTCTGTCCCACCAGGCTGGGATGCAGAGATCAGAGCGGTACCGCCTCACAGCAGCTAAAGACACCAGAAAACAACCAGACCTGTGGACTGAAGCAGCAGTGATGAGCAGCTGGAGGAGGGGGGCTTCATCGCTATGGTAACAACCAAGCACCCAGAAGGTCGCTTCTCCACTGGATCAGTTAATTTAGACGTTCCCCGACTTAAAGGGGAGCGCTGACATCCGCTGATAGATTTTTTTATCTTTTAAAACAAAGTAGAGTGTGTGTGACATCATCAGCGCGCGCCGGCTACCGTTCATTCATCCTGTCCGCTGAACTGCTGCTAGTTTTCCTCTCATGCCTGGAAGATGTCTAGTGCTGCTACCTCAGATGATCTCGCTCTCCAGATGAACCATTCAGATGAGCTAGAATGAATAGAAGGGGTAGAGCGTAGCCGCCTGTGGCCCGGGCTGCCTGTCACTACTACAGTCCGCCGCGCGGATGACATCATACACACACCGCTTCGATTATAAAAATATAAAAACATCTAAAGGTGGATGTCTGGGGGACAGTGATTGGCCTCCATGTTCTGAATGCTGGCGTTCCGTAAAGAATAAATGATGAACAGTTCAGTTTGTGCCTTCAAGTCGTTGCCCATAGGAAGACGTTACTGGATATAACCTAACGGAATATCTGCAGAACGGCTCCAAATGACACTAAACTCAGATGGGAGAGTAGAAGATGATGGAATGACGGAAAATCAAGGAACCAATGGAAAAACACTGGTGTTCCCCTTTAAATACCTCTCAGAATGAACGAGTGCCCCCCCCAGCAGAACCCTGATGGGGTCCAGCTGACAGCTAAGCTCTAACACCACTGAATTAACCAATTAATCTCCAGATGCCGTCTATAAGGTCAGAGTGTAGCTCATGGCTGAGGATGCAGATCCTCTGGGACCGTGGAAGGAACCACATTCACAATAATCACAGAAACAGCCGCTCTGCTGTCAGTCTGAGCAACAACCCCCCCCCTCTTACCCTCTTCTTGATGAACTTCAGAGCCCTCTTGTCCTTGGAGACCTTCAGCAGCTCCATGGCTCGCCTCTCATACGGAGCAAAGCCGCACACTTCTCGGATCATGTCACGAACAAACTTGCTGTGTTTGGTCAAACGCTGCAGAGGAACAGATCAGCCATCACTGTCAATCATCTGCTCTATGATCGGAGCCTGTTGGTGCAGAGCAGCAGATACTCACCCCGCGCCTGCGGCTGTGCTTTGGAGCGGTCACGTTCTTGGTAACTGGGTGGCCCTTATTAAGGCCGACGGCCATCGGGTAGCGGATAGCCATGTCTGCGGGAGAGAATCAGCCTTCATCAGCCATGGATGAACCCTCTGACCGGAGGACTGTAGCCATACCGGCAGACAGCCTGGGACACAGCTAGCACCGCTAACAGGCCGGTCCTAACTAAACACTTTAAACTACACAAAGTTATTTTCCAGACCCGAAAATTAAACATTTACTCTTCAACGTTTAATAAAACACCCGTAAAGCTGGTTTTCAGTTATTTAATTCACTCTAGCAGCTCTATCATTAAAAACTAGCTCCCCGGTGCGTTAGCATAACATAGCGCTAACAAGTACAGCGCTAAAATCCTTTAATTTCCAAAATGTTGCGGATCAAAATAACTCAGGAAAATAAAACAGATTTAACTTGTTTATTAGAACCGAAAAACAAATGAAAAACTGGAGGGATGGTTAAGATTTAAAGCAGATTCTGGTCAGATATCAGGGACTTACCTGCTGTCTATGATGGCGGTCAAACCGGAAGGACTGCTGACAGGAAGAGGGAGGAATTAACTAACGGTCTGCTGGGCACCGCGCTGATCCTACAGCGCCCCTGCTGGCGAGGAAGCACCGCGAGATATGACGAGATTTAAAACCGGTGCGGTGAAAATTTATTAGAGATAAAAATGTGAGGACCATTTTATCAGGACAGCGTTTAAATGTAAAACATTTAATCATTTTACTGCACGGACAAAAACTTGAATAATTCAGGTAACATAGAAACATTTTTTAAATATTTAAAATGGCGAAAGTAAAAGAAGTGCAATTTAAAATTAGGGGAAGAGATCGTATACATGTATGTAAATGAAAAAATCAAAAACTTTCATTATTAGGTTTCTAAAACGAACTTAAAATCTTCTGTTAATCTTAATCTCTGTTAGCTGACAAATATGGACAAATAAATCAAAACTTTATAGTGACGTAATGTCACAGTTTCTGACAAAATGCTAAAGTTAAGGTGATGCCAGGAAGTACCTCGCTGCAGAATGATTCTTTGTTAATTGTTGACTTTAAAACCTTCAAATGTTTTATGTTTTTATACTTTTGGAAACTGGCTTAGTTTTGCTTCTATTGGTTGTAAATGCCTGTTTATTTATCCTTTTATTTGTTGCCTTGCACATGTTAAGTTGATCTCCTGTATATAACTGTTATTTTGTCTTTTTTTTGTAAGAATGAAAAAGTTGAGATTCCTACTTTAAAATTTGAAATGAATGTTTCTGTTTAATAAAGTTTAAAAAAACAACAACTGCGGTTTGTTTTTCTGCTCTACAATAAATTAGATATTAGATTTATTCTACTTTATTTTAAAGTTTAAAGTATTGTGCAGCAAAAACCAAGGTAGGAAATCTGTATTAGGTAACTCTACTGTGATTTATTGTAATCTATTACATTTAGCAGCCTAAGTTACTGTAATGGATTTATATCGCTGAAGGTTTAGACTTAAATGTTTTTTTTTCTAACAGAAAGTAAAAAAAAAAAAAAACTTTACAATGTTTTGCTGAAAGTATAAAAGTCATTTATTTGGGAACAAATATATATAATAAAGTATTTATCTATTCATATTACCGTCCTGCATTGCTGAAGATTTGAACCCATTCATTGGTTTTGGTCGTTAAATGTTCTTCAACAAGCAGAAAAATAACGGCTGAATTTATCTCCAACATTTAACATCAAATATAGCAACAAAAAAAATCTAGATATATATCAGTGGTTTGGATGTTTGGAAAGCAGCTGGATGATAATAATATGAGTAAAGTTTTTTATATTAGCACTTAAATTCAGAACAAACCGACCGCCTGGTTCAAGAACACAATTCTGGAAAAATCAAACATTTATTCATAAAACACTTTTTACTAACAGCAGCTCAGACGCTGTACAGAATAAAATAATCAACCAGGAATAGAAATGTCTGAGCAGAGAGGGGTGGAAGGAGGGGGTAAGAAGGGTCTTAGTTCCCAGTGGAGCTATTTCCACAGACGGAGGCAGAAACACTGGAAAGGAGCCTAAAAATCATCGTTTCACATTTAAACATAAAAACATGAATGTTCATTTAAGATGTAGATCAATCTTTAAACATGTTTCATTCTAGTTTATTTCTATAGCTCTAATTCCCATCCTGTCATCCCTTTATAGAGATAATTCACCCAGATCATCCGTCAGATTAAAGGTTATAAAGTTTTCCACCAAAGGAGAACCAGCTGATTGCAGCGACTCTGTGACTCTGCAGGATTCGCTCCTCCAGGAGGTGCAGGCAGGAGATATTCACTCCCATCATTGGCACCAAAGAAATCCATATATGAATATAGAAATATAACTATTTCTATCTTAGATCCTAGTGATGGATGTAGAATGATGTACAGGTGTGGTTGGAACATTTAGATTTCTCTTGTTTCATCTATTAATTTATCATATTTACTCTCTATAAAAGTTTTCACTCAGCCTGTTTCATCTTGAAGGCCTCATCATTCCCTGCAGGATGGTGTTTGTAGACCAGCAGAGCTTCTTCCATAACCAACCAGATTCTTTCTCAGGTTTATTCATAACATGTTACTGTTTAACCAAAGTGTTTATAATTAGTTTAGACTCTGACTGCTTTCTATTGTTGTAATTAAGGAGGAACGAACGCTGCTGGATCAGAACAGGGCTGATTACGGTGCAATAAGGACCCTATGATGAAATGTTCTCATTAGCAAAGATAGAATGAGTGAAATCCACCAATCTCTGTTTATCATTATTATTATCTAATCATCATTATTTAGATACTGATTTCTCCTCTATGTTTCATGGCAGTATGGAGCTGCAGTCTGTAGCGCTGGAACCAAAGGGTCCCGGGTTCGATTCCTGGCCTGATGTCTCTGTGGTGGAGTTAACACGTTCTCCCTGTACATGTCTGTACTCAAGCTGGACAGAAGCACCGTTTTTATTATTAATTCCTCTTAACCATTTATCCAACAAACGAGGTGGATAAGAACAGTCTACCAGCACAGGCTGTTTGCAGACTGACAACAGAGAAATCAGGGAGGCACGTAATAAACAATTGACGTAAAACAAGTGTCAGCTAAAACTCATTAAATGGGATCTTGTTAAATTGTAGTTCATCATCTGACACAGAACATTAAATGTTGTTAAAACCCCACAGCTGATTAAATCCTCCATGTTCTGAATGGAAGTTAAACTCCAGCCTTAGTGTGGCTTTAACCTCAGAGCCACAGCATCAAGGTGAGCTCCCTCCTGCAGTCTGACTCTGCTGCACAGGTAAACGGCCATCTTTGCCTCACTGATTAAAATATTCAAAAGTCAGCCATTGGTTTATTGCTTCTATTTTGAGAAACTCCTTCTCTAAAAAGAGTGTAAAAACCGTCCCATAAAGACTAAAAACACTATTTAAAAGGCTAAAGCTAGTCTTTAGTCTTGTTCGTTCCATAAAAACGTGAAAGACATTTTCAGACAGACCACAGAAAGGACACTGTTTTAACCGATAAAAACCAGTTTGTGGCGATGGCGCCGTGTGAAACCCTCCATTGGAGATCAGCAGTTGGTTTTTTAATTGGAGGTTTGTATAAAGTCCTCCACTGAGGTGGTTTATTCTGAAGTCTTTCAGTCCAGATGCAGACCGGCCGGTTCTGAAGGTGTCGTTGGTTAATAAGTTTTGTGCAGCTGTGGTAAAGAGCTTTCTGGTCCATATTGGATCAAACCATCCTCTGTGGGTCCAGGCTGGACAGCAGAGGTCTGCTTTGCTCGGGGAAACAAGGATCCAGAAAGGAGTCCATCGGGTCCGGATGGTTCTGACACTGGCAGGAGGAACGAAGGAGGCTCCTCTCCTTGGCTGAGCCTCATTGATGACAGAAAATGGAAGAAAGAGAAAGTTCGCTTAGAAATCAGCATTAGAGGATAAAGTTTGGATCCGGAGCATCTGGAAGTTTCCACCGCTGGTTTGGACTTTGAATGTTTGTGAACAAGGAGGGAGGAGCTGAGTCTGATGTCAGCTTTTCCAGAGGGCTGCCTGGTTTTCCAAACCGCTTTAATTGCAGGAGAGTTGGAGAATGAGCAGGTTCCTGATTGACAGGACTGAGAAACCAGGTGGAGACAGGAGCAGTTTGCTGGAGGTGATGACAGGAACCAGAGGAACTGGACCTCCTCAGAGGAGAACAACGGTTTAGGATCTGAGGCCACTGGGTGACATCACTCAGGTGAGGAGGGACTGGAAGCTCCAGATGTTGAGGTGGCTTAAAGACACCTGGACCTTCTTATTCAGCCAGCTGCTCACTGCTGCCATCTGGTGGAGGAAAACTGAGCCCAACACTCAGACCCTTTGATAACCCTGCCCCTCCCTGACTGACTGAAGAAGACTCCTATGTCAGTGTGGAGCTCTGAGAGAAATGGCTCACATCTGAAAGAGAAAATTACAGATAGGAAAAAAATGGTGGATGATGCATTTTGTTCTTTTTTTTTGGAACTTTTTATTTTCAAGAACTTTACACAACAAAAGAACATTTCCTGAGCCAAGAGTAATGAGATCAATAACAGAAACACTGATGCAACATAAACAATATTACAACATAAATGCAGCACGATAAACCACCTGAAACTTTGAATACGCCACAAGAGAGAACTGCACATACATACTACCATATGTACACATACATACTACTATATGTACACATAGATACACACAAACCCACACCCCTCCCCCTCCCCTCCAGGGTGCTCACCCACAGGCCAAAAATACAGTAAACAAACAGCAAAAATGTATATATATAATATATACCCACCTACAT